CACTGGAGCAGTGTGAGCTCCAGGGCACACAGCAGCAAGCCATTAAAGGCATAATCCGAGCACGGAGAAAATTGTTTTCTTAAACAGGTTTATTCCTCCAAGGGACGTCTTTGCTTGAGAGATTTCCACTATAAATTAAATCTGTCCCATGATCCAGATAAACGGCTGTGAGCCCCACAGCACTGCATGGCTGTCCCCACTCCGGTCCTGGACCCTTATGCCATGTCACCCTTTGGAGCACAGAGCCACCTGGATGGAGGCATGGGGCACAAGGTGGGATCCTGCAGGGCACAGCGTGGGCAGCCCAGCCCTGCTCCATCCCCACCTGCCCCACTGGTTTCCCCCCATCCCTCCTCCAACCCCTTGCACACCTTTTCCCATTGCTGCTCCTAATGAATTTTGGTAGCGATAGTTTCTAAAAGAATAGAAAACAATTATTTGCTCTGCTGGGGGATTAGATGATATTTAGTCTCTATTTAATAGAAAACTAATTAAATTACACGAGAAACTGAATAGAATTTTTTTGTTAATTATGAATTTTGCAAGCTACAAAGGCTAAATGATGATGGATTCTGTAATCTGCCGTGCTTTTAGCTAGACACTGAGATAAGATGACAGCTGAGAAAGAATGGAAAGAATGCATTTTAATTTCTATATCGATTCAATAACATCTGGCTGAACAGCGATCCATTAATGGTGATCTGCAGGAGCTGACGTTGACTGGCAGGCTGACGGCTAATTATGTTAAAACTGGGGACACAGTGGTTAAATAGATGTGTGTGTGCCCCTGGAGGAGGCTGGGGAGGTGGTGGTGCCCTGTGTGCTGGCTTTGCTCCATCTCTTCCCTTCGCCCTGCATGGGCAGGTGGGATGCAGGGTGTTTGGTGCCAGGCATCCCTTAGGGGTTTGAGCCACTGTGATTTGGGGATGGCTGAAATGAGGGGATGGATGGTTGGAGTCCAGGTCAGCTGCTCTGCCTCCACCTGTGCTGGAGGTGCTATCTCCAGGCTGCTGTCTGGCATCCTGAGCTTGGTGCTCAGGTTTGGGCTGCCCATCACAGGCAGCGTCCCTGATCCCAGTGCTGGGACAGCTCTGATCCCAGGCCTGGAGCATCCTTAACCTCAGGGCTGGGACATCCTTGATCCCAGTGCTGGAATATCTCTGCTCCCATGGTTGGAGCATCCCTAATCCTGGGACTGGAGCACCTCTGCTCCCAGCACCTGGCTGGCACCCATCACATGATAATGGGCTGCAATGGGATCCACCTTCTCTCTTCCACCTGCAGGGCTGCTCTGCCACTCTGACCTCTTGTTAATTAGGGGCTCCTTAGCATGGATCCAGGAGAACTTCAGCTCTGGCACATGTGTGTCATGCCCATCAGCCTGCAGGGGGGATTCAGACTGAGCAGAGTGCAAAGTACAAAGCCATTCCCCACTGAAGGCACTACACTGTGTTTTTTGGGGAGCTCCACTGCTACCTCACTGGATCAATACTGCTGAGAGCACCAAGCAAGGGGATGCATGTGGGAGCCCCAATCACCCACAGGGTTTCATTGCATCAGACCTGTGCCTGTACGGCAGCGGCACAGAGATTTGCATGTGTTTACTCTGCTCTGATTTGCATAATGGATGGGAATAAATATCTTCTCCCTGTCACTGTAACACAGATAGATGGATCCCCTTCAAAGATTTGTTGGCCAATAAACACACCAAAACGATCATTCCGTCTTGTTCCAGCGGGCTGCTTGGTGCCATCAATTACTGCCCAGGATCCTAAAGGATGCTTACAGGACTGCAGCTCAGCAGCAAGTTCCTTGGGGCTGCCACATCCCCTCTGGGGATGTCCCCAAGCTTTGGCTGGTGCCCAGGGGGACACCTCAGCCCCTGGCACAGATTTGGTGCTTTTTCCCCCAGAATTTTTTTGCTGGCCAGAGAGATGTCAAAGGAGACTTTGTGCAGCCAAGGGAGTGATCCCAGCTGGCTCCCCATGCCTTGGGGATGCAGAGCTTGGCCAGGCCGTGCTGTAAGATGACCTTCCTGATGCCTTGTGGTCCTGGGATGCTCCCATGTCACCGAGAGCTGTAGGGACAGCAAGGGGACATGGGGGACATCCAATTTCTTGGGCTGCATGGCAGGCAAAATTTCTGCTTGAGTAGCCATCAGAAGCCAAGCATTGGGTAACCCATCCATCTGGGCTGGAAAAGACCTTCAGCATCATCACTCCAACCATTAACTGGACCCACTGGGTAACACATACTGTCATAGAATCATATCATAGAATCATAGAATGGCCTGGGTTGCAAAGGCCCACAGTGCTCATCCAGCTCCAACCCCCTGCTGTGTGCAGGTCACCAACCAGCAGCCCAGGCTGCCAGAGCCACATCCAGCCTGGCCTTGAATGCCTGCAGGGATGGGGCATCCACAGCCTCCTTGGGCAACCTGTTCCAGTGCCTCACCACCCTCTGGCTGAAAAACTTCCTCCTAATATCCAACCTAAACCTCCCCTGTCTCAGCTTAAAACCTTGTCCTATCAGTTCATCTAAGTTGGGAAAGACCTTCAAGATCATCAACTCCAACCAATAACCTGACCTACTGGATAACATACCATAGATTCATCAAGGTGGGAAAAAATCCTTTAAGATCATCAGCTCCAACCACTGACCCGACCTTCGGGCTAACACATCCCACATATAAATCCAGTTCGAAAGAGACCTTCAAGAGCCTCTTGGTATTTCTACAATCCCTCCTTGCAACCCATCCACCCACCCCATGGGGCCTCGAGCTTTAGGAATGCTGTGCCCCTAATGAGGGGCAGTGAGCACACGCTGTCATCCCCCACGCACCACATTTCCATTTGAAAAAGGCAGCAATATTGAAAAAGAATGGCTTTCCACGAACAATGCATCTGGTGTACATCAAAGCACTTATCTTCACAGCTTCCTCCCGTCTCCATGAATGAATAATGCGACCCTGATTTTATTTCCTCCTAATATTTCCTCTGTCGTTTGCACGTCGTCTCTTCTCTTTCTTTCCACAAGAAGAAAAAAAAAATAAATTAAAATAAAAAAATAAAATAAAATAAAAGCAAAGCAAAAGATCACAGTGTGGATGGAGGGTAGCAAAGCAGAGCAAGGGACAAAACGCTCAGCCCTTCCCCACCCTCTCACAAATGAAGTTATCTCCTTGCCTTCTAGGGAAGCAGCCTGACATGCTATATTGACCTTTTTAATCTAAAATTGATTCTTTGCAAAACTCCACCTGGTCGAGAGCCAGGCAGGATCTCGGCACCGTTGTGTTGGTTTTATCGCTCTCATTATTTTCCATCAGCACGTTTTGCTTTCCTCTGGTGTTTACTGGAGCCTTTGCCCCTCGCACTGATGGGGAGGGCTGAGCAGAGTGGGTCAGGCTTGCAATTGTCAACAAAGCACTGCGAGTCGGTGGGGACCTCATTGGTGCTGACCTATGGGGTCCCTTCGCCCCACGTCCCCCCTCTGCTTACATCCTCCTTTTCCAGCACCCCAGTTCAGTTTGCATTCAGCCACCTCCCCTGGGCACTGCTCTGTGAGCACACCAAATATCTGTAGTGCCGATTCTGCACTCAGAGAAGCTGCAGGTCTCCTACAAACCCCATCCTTTGGCCATGCCTGGACCTCCCAGAACATTCATGGGGGCAAATGCCAGCACACAGCACCGGGGCAGGGGGAATTCCCACTGCAGGATGACAGAACACCTCCAGGAGTGGCGGATCCAGCAGGGCTGGTGAATGGGGATGTGTGCTCAGGCAAACATTGGAAGGGCTGACTTGGATCGTGGACCTGCACCCACATCCAAATGCATCTGCAAGACTGTGGCCCATCAGATCCAGAGCTGAGCAGTTCTGGTGCCAAAATACGCGCAGTTTCAATAGATGCTATGTTGTAAAAATCAAGGCTGAAGAAAATAAACGCATGGAACTGTAAAGTAGTGAACTATTCCCAAGTCCTTCTGCTGGGTGGCATTTCAGGGAAAGATTTCCAAAGCTCTGGAAAAGCACCATCCAAATATTCCTTGGCAGTTTTGCACTCTCCGCTCCCCCAGGTGTGCTGTGGAGAGAGAACAAAGGTGGGCAGGGTTGGTGGCAGCTGGGGCCGAACCGTGCCAGCCCCGTGTGCCTCCACCTTCCTGCTCAAACCTCCCAGATAGGAACCTGCTGAGAGCAGAGGCCCAAAGCCGGGTGGCTGGGTGCTGGACGGGGGTCACTCCCAGCCCTGGGGAGCTGTGCATGCTCTGCACGGTGGGTTGCAAGGCTGTGTTTGTCCTCCCTGCAAACCCAGGTGCTGCCCTGGCACGGTCACCCCAGGGGAGGTGGCTGTGGGGTCCCTGCGCTCAGACTGCAGGCACCACCCACCCACAGCCCACAAGGACGGCAGGGTGGGGAGAAACGGGGTGGGGGGGGGCAGCACTTCCTCAGCCCTTTACAAAACCGCCAACAAAAGCGAAGTAAAATAATAATAATAATAAAAAAATCTACAATTGGAAAAGCACCAAATACCGATGCTAACGAACAGCAGCCGCGCCTTACCGCTGCTTGCGGGAGGCGGCCCCTCTCCCGGCTTCCCCCGTACCGCCAGGAAACCGCGAAGGGCTCACAGCGGGCGCGGCGTGCCCGGCCGCACCGCACCGCACCGCACCGCACCGCACCGCACCGCACCGCACCGCACCGCCCCCTGCCCGGCCCCGCCGCCCGCCGGGCCCCGCTGGGAGCGCGGCCGGCCCTTATTCCGCTGGTCGCCGCCCGCCCTGCCCGCCGCGCCCCCGACCCCACCCCGCCGCCTCCTCCCCGCCCGCCCCCGGGGCTGTGCGGGAGAGACAATAGAGGGGCAGGGCGGGTTCGGCGCAAAACTGCGCGCCCCGGGGATGGATGGCGAGGTGTGCGCGGCCCCGGGGGCCCTGCGCCCGGAGATGGGAATGTAGCGGGCCGGGGGGGGAGCGGGGCTCGGGGGAGGAAGGCGGGGAAGGGGGGCGATGCCCCTTGCTGAGCGCAGCCCGCCTCTGTGCTAACCCGGCAGGATGCGGGAGGCGGCGGGGCTGGGAAGAAAGTAGCGGGGCTGGAGAGCGGGGCATGGCCGTGTTGCCCCCCTGAAGCTCCCCGGGCGGCTGCTGAGGAGCCGGAGGAAGGAGACGCGCGGCCACGGCGGGGAAATCCGCGGCTCCGGCTGGGAAACCATGGGGAGATGCAACGGGAGATGCACGCTGGTTGGATTCTGCTGCCTGCAGCTGGTAAGGCGAGGGGCCGCGCGCCCAGCAGCATGCCGGGCGGTGCTTTGTGCGGGTGACCTTGCTGGGGATGCTTCAGCGCGACCCCCACCCACCTCCCAGTTTTTATTATTATTATTATTTTCAACGCAGAGATAAAAGAAACGCGACCCTCATCGCTCGCTGGAGTTGCAGAAGCGAGATGGGGTTGAAGCGGCTCCCGGCGCTGTCGGTGCCTGGGGACGCGGCTCGGGCAGGTGCGAGCTTTGTCTCCGGCTGCGAGCTCTTCGCTCGGAGGGCGGTTTGCAGGGGTGCTGCTTTGGGTCCCTGCATCAGCCGCGGTGAAACTTGGAGCCGCAACGGCACTTTGCAAACTCCGCACCGAGCGGCACCGCTCCGCCGGCAGGCAGAGGGAGAGCGGGTTTGGTACAGCCGGGCTCTATTGGCAATAATCGCGTGCCACGCTTCCGCCGCCCACGGATCCATCTTCATCACGCTGCTGACAGAGGGCCGGGCGAAGGGAGCGCGTTCCGATCTAACATGCAGCCAGCGAGGTTGCAATTAATTATCCAAGCGCTTCCCCGCTTCGTTAAACCCTGCGGCCGAGCGGCGCCCCTGGACGTGCCTCGTCAGCAGCGGCAGCGATGGGCGCGGAGGGAATCGCCGGAATGCTGCCGTGACTCCCCGTGGCTTTGAGCTGCCCGTCTGCCCGTGGATGTGTCGGTGAGGTCCGTGCTCTCCGCTCCGTTCATTCGGATAAAAGCGATGGGTGTTTCCCTGTGTGCAGGACTTCCCCGGTTTTCGGCCACTTTTTTTTTTTTTTTTTTCTATTGGTCAACTCAAACACAGTCTTGCTGGCATCGTCCTGCAGGGAGCTATCGCAGCGCTGAACAGAGAGGTGATTTGGGTTTCTTTTCAGGAAAGAAACGAAATCAGTGCTAGCTCCCGGGCTGGCAGGGCAGCTTCTGCGTGTGGCTCTGCTCAGCCTCCAGTGGGGCTGGACGGAGATTCGGTGATTAGGAGGTGAAGTGAAATCAAAACTCTCTTGTTATGCCGTCCCCAACCATTCAGGTTGCTTATTGCTGTAGCAGCAGGTCGGCTCGGAGCAGAGAATTGGCTCTGCTGGGCTGGGCTGTGGGTTTTGCTGCTGCCCTCTGTGATGCTCATCATTGTCGGGGGGATTTCTCTTTATGCTAAGATGAAAGCTGTTGAGCTGGCTGGATGAGAAGCCAACCTGACTTGCCCTTCACCACCAGCAGCACGCGGGAGCTGTGAGCTGCTCCTCTTGTTCACCCTGAAACCTAATGATGGTGAGCAGAGGTACAGCCCCACTGCCTCACTCTGCTCCCAAGGCACTCCAAAGGGTTTTGTCTGTTCTTTGTTTCTCTCCTTTTCCTTTAATTGGGTGGGAAAGGAAAGTTGGGTTGCTGCCTCCTGCCTGGCTGAGCCTGCTGGAGCTTGCCCAAGTAGTAGTGTGCCATGCCGTGCTGTGCCATGCCGTGCTGTGCCGTGCCATCCAATGCCATGCCGTGCTGTGCCGTGCCATCCGATGCTCTGCCATCCAATGCCATGCCATACGATGCTCTCCCATATGATGCCATGCCATCTAGTGCCATGCCACATGATGCTGTGCCATAAAATGCCATGCCATGCTGTGCCATGCCGTACAATGCCATGCCATGCTGCATCTGGTACCACCTCCAGCACAGTGACAGCCGCGGACGGCCGCCAGCATCTTTTGTCCTCGCCTGGTTCCCGTCGTTCCCGTGCTCGAGGACAGTGTGAAGCCAATGGGACCGGGGCTGCCCCCACCACCAGGAATGGGGGAAAAGGAGCCCGGGCTGAACTCTGAATGTGGGTTTTCAATTACACAATTAAATGCACAATTAGGTATAATTACCAGCGCTCAGAAGCCGCGACTGTTCGTAATAGGCATGTAATCTACTGCAGTCACTGTTTATACTGCTCAGCTCCTCTCCCTAATGATTATGGAAAGCTTTCACATTTGCATGGTTGCCATGGTAATTGGGTTTGGGGCTGACAGTGGCATCACGGATGGAGGGCCCCATCCCCACGGCTCCGCGTGCCCCTTCCCCACGTGCTGGCACAGTGGGTGCACCTCCATGGGATGCTGCAATGGACTGGAGATGCTGCAGAGCAGCAGGTGCTGCTGGGGTGGGGATGGGGCTGCTGCATGGGCAGCACTAAGGGATCCAGGGCTGTGTGTGTGTGTGTCAGAGGTCCACATGTGTCTGGGTGGGTGTCACCCAGGTCAGCTTGTCACCAAGCCGTGGCCATCCCAGATGGGGATGATGGGTTGGGGTGGCATCGTGGCACAGCAAAACGCCTGCATGTGTGAACATCGTGGGCCATGCACACGTGTGCCTTCATTATTCATACAAAGAGCCACGCTGACAGTTTGCCATAAAGGTTTATGGGTGTGCGTTTGGGAAGGAGTGGTGTTACGGCTCTCAATTAAAACCACTATTAAAGTGCAGGATGTCTGAATGTGCAGGGCGAGCTGACGCACACCCAGGAGCATTAATGGGGCTCTACATCATTAACGATGCTCTGCAACAAAGCTGTGAGCAATGGGAAGCATTCAGAGGGCTGAAAACATGTACTGGGGGGGTGAGGTGGGGAAGCAATGCCTGGGGTGAACCAGGAGCCACAATGTGGTCTGCAGTGCGAGTGATGTCCCCAGAAATGAGCTTTGTCCAACAGAACAGCTTGGCCGGGCTCCTGACTGTGGTGTTTGTTTGCAAACTCCCAACTGTGCCTTTGGGTGAACTCTGGGCAGGAAGATAATCACTGCTTGGGTTGTAACCCCTCGCATCGTGCCTAATTGGTGTCATTTGGGATGGAAATCCTTTTTTTTTATTTCCAACAGTCACCAGTGTGGCAAAGAGATGTTTTGGGGGGTGGCATGTCCCAGTGGTGGGGATGATCGCCCATGGAAGGGGATGGGCTGGAGACCGACACTGCTGCTTCCCATCATTATCCCCTGTGATGGGGACATGGTCTCCTCTTGGCTGGGTGTTCTCTCCAAGGCCTGCAGCATAGGAAGAACCCAGAGGGGTTGATGGTTGAGAAGGAAGAAGGATTTGGGGATCAAATGGTCCAAAACTCATTGCACTGAGATTTGTTGTGACCACGAGATGAGAAAGTTGCTGGGAAAAAAACAGAGCCTATGGGATATTTATAGGAAATGAGGATGGCCATCAGCCAAGCAACATCCCATCCATGGTCAGCACTTTCATCCAGTTTCAACAACAGGTGCCAATGCAGCAGAGAGCAGTGGGTTTTGGGCACTGGAAGAATGCTGGGCTTGGGCACTGGGATATCAGCATCATCCCAGCTCTGTGCCAATGGTCTGTGGTGGGAAATAGGGCTGGAGAAGGGCTCTGTGATCCCACAGCCATCCATGGGAGAAGAATCCTGCCAGCATTGCCTCCTTTCATGTGCACCCATGGGTGCTGCAGCCATCACTGTGTACCAGTGCTGCAGAGACCTCCTAATGGAGGTCTTTTCCTCTGCTTGAAAGCGACGATTCATTTCAATTTCCAAAATATGCATGTAACGGCCTGGAAAAATGGAAAGGAAAAGTTGGCACAGAGCAGCCCAATCATATTTGAACAGGACATTAAACCCTGAGTGCTTTATTAATAAGATTAATAACCACTCCGATGTCATTGGCTGGGAAATTTCACACATTTTTGCTTTTCCCTCAGTCTCAGAAGGAGGGGAGTGAGAAAATGGCAAGTGCCCATCAGCCTGCATCCAGACACAAGGTGCAGTGATGCAGGATGGGGATGCAGGATGTGGGATGCGGGAGCCTTTGAGATCACATATTTTGCCTTATAATTCATGCTGTGGGCATTTTGTGCCACTGTTTCTCCCAATAACAGGCTGTGTCACAGTGCCTCCTCATCCTCACTGCCCACTCTGGATCTCATTCCAGCAGAGGACACAGCCACCATGCCTGGCTGGGTCACTGTCACACACATGGGACACCAAGCTCTGAGTGCTTGGCTCTTAGGCTAATTGCCATGATTAGGGGTAATTAGTGCTCTGGGCCAGTTTGGTCTCTTCAATCAATATCACTGTGGGCACAGCAGTGGTGGCAGAGCTGGGTGGGAGCAGAGGATGCTCAGGCAACACTGTGAGGAGCACTGGGGTCATGGGGATGAGGAAGTCTCCTGTCTGCTTTCCAGTTCCGTGCTGTAATGGCTCAGATTGATGATGGTCCTCAGCTGTTGCTTGTAAATGTCATGCTGAGAGTCCTTGTCCCATCCCCTGCAATCCCCTGAGGCCGAGCACATGTCCTCCCTTCCTCCTGCATGGAAATAAATGGCCAGGAGTGAGGACAGGCTGCAATGGCCCCATGGTGTCAGCCGTGTGGGGCTCAGCCTGCGTCCTTGAACCACTTCCCTGAGTGCCTTGATTCCCTTCCCTTCCCTTCCCTTCCCTTCCCTTCCCTTCCCTTCCCTTCCCTTCCCTTCCCTGTCCCCGCCTCCCCTCCCCAACCCTTATTCCCTTCCCACTTTCCCTTCCTCTTTCCACTTTCCCCTTTCCTAAATTGAGGCCCTGAACAAAGCACTGTGTGTGTTGGCAAGCTCCGGGCAGACAAAGCCAACACAGGCCTGCCTACCCCATAATTAGCACTGCTGTCATTAATGGGACCCAAGGAGGAGGAGCAGGGTGCTGCTGGGTGCTGTGGGGATGGCCCCATCGCCCACCATTGGGAACCCATACGGGACCCCAGCAGGTGGTGGAAACATCAGTCATATGGCCACACCATCTGTGTCAGTTTTCCCCCAGAATTATGTACAGAAATCAGTACCTCCTGCAGATGCACCAAAAAGGATTTGGGGCAGAAGCACACGCATCGTGTGCAGGAGTTCCCATGTGGTTTTTGGGAAAAGAAACTGTTTTTCTGGGCAAAAATCCACCCCTCTGTGACCTCTCAAGGTGGGCCTGACCTCAGGTGCCCACATCCCCATTGGTGTCTCCTGCAGGGTTTG